GTAAACTCCCTCCTTGCTCGGCGTGTGCGTGACCGAGGCGGGCAAGTACGCTCTTGCGAGGGCTACGACGGTACGTGGATTATGCACGGCGCGATCGTGAACTGACCTTTTCCACGTTTCGAGGCCTTCCCCCACCCTCTCCATTCGTAAGCGCGCGCGGGGGGCAGCGTTTTGGGAACGGCGAGCTCAGATGACCCAGTAAGTCCATCGTCTTCTTCGCGACGTGACGGAGAACTCAACGGTATTCAATTGCAGTGCGTGCGAGAAGGTGGGGGGAGGGTGGGGGCGTAGTCGAGGCCTCCGCCACCGCCCTTTTCGGTGAGTACAGCGCTTTTTCGACACCTGTAGTGCACTCATGAACGAGTAGCGACACTGCGCTCGCCCTCGCAGCTATGCGAGAAGGAGAAAAAGATGTGAAGGGGGTGGTTTGTGGCAAGGAGGGGTGGGAGGAGCGAGAGGAAGGGATGGTAGAGGGGTGAAGGCACGCGCGGGGAGTTCTCCGCGTGAAGACGCGGTCAGCTGCATGCCGAGAGGGGAGGGTGCATCACAATCTCCCCTCGTCGAAGAGAGGGATGGGAGGGAGGGGGATAGCGAGCATCTCGCACACCACGCAAAGACGGAGGGGGTGAGACGGGCTTCACGCGTCGATAAGCTCGCGAGGGGCGGGGGGAGGGGGTAACACATCTTGTAACGTAGGTAGCGACACAATACAATCAAGTTTACCTTCTCTTTCACATCGACGACGCGCGCGCAGCGCGCAGGCGGCAACCGCCGCCTCGTCGCGGCCCCCCTCGCCCCCGCACTCCGTCGCATCACACCACGCAGACCGTTTTCAAGGAATGTGTATTTTGTCGTAGGCAACCCCGATGTGTAAAAGTAAGTAATCCAATGCCATGTCTACGCACATTAGGAACAACAGAAGGGTATAGTAAAGGTAGAGTCGAGGGAGAGAAACACCGTGCCGAAAGCCTCTATGCCGAGGGCTTGCGGGCGATCATGAGGTACATGGGGGTGAAGAGCTGCAGGACGGTGAGCTGGGCTCCGACTCGGACGCGCTCGCCTCACCTTGGTCTGGCCACCCTTGACGAGGGCATCCTGCGCCACCTTGAGCTGCTCACCGACGTCGTGCGTGCCCTTGGGCACCATCCCGAGCATCTCGATGATCTTGAGGCCGTAGTGGGTGACGAACTTGCCCGTCGGGCTGATGCGCCACACCACAAACAAATCCCAGAGCGTTTGTGCCTTGCTGATGTCGCCCTCAAGCGGGTAGTACCACGGCACCGGGTCGTCGCGCTCCGCCAGGTCCTCCTCATGCTCGAGCTCGAAGCCGACCTCCTTGACCGCGTCGCGCGCCATGTGCAGCGGGCGCATCTCCGGGATGCCGTTCCCGAGCTCGACCTGGTGCGCGAGCGCCTTGTGCGCCGGGTTGCTCGCGTCCCAGGCGTCGGTCATGACCCACTCGTAGCAGCCGAAGACGCCTCCGGGCTTGAGCACCTTGAACACCTCGCCGTACACGCCCGCGAAGGACGGCGCGTGGCAGGTCGCCTCGACGGCGTACACGGCGTCGAACGCGTTCTCGCCGAACTGCTCCGCGAGCTTCATGAAGTCGCCCTTGACGAACTTGACCTGGTTCTCGAGCCCGGCCTCCTTCGTGTACTGGCGTGCGCGCGCGACCTGGGGGCGAGTGTTAGGCGTGTTCTACTGCAGAGGCGCACACACGCACCTGGAAGTCGTTGTTGTTCAGGCCAATGATCTCGACGTCGGCGAAGCGAGCGATCTCGCGCGCCGGGCCGCCAACGCCGCAGCCAATGTCCAGGACACGCATTTTGGGACGGAGGTTCATCTGCGCCGCGAGGTAGTGCTCGTGGCGGGCGAGCGACGCGGCGAAGCTCTCGCCCTTGTAGAAGCGCGAGAAGTGGAAGGAGCGGCCCCAGCCATAGTCGTACAGCTGCGTAGCACCGTCGTAGTAACCTGCGCGCGCGGCGTGAGCGACGTCCTCGTGTCGACCGCATTTTACGCACCATTCACGACATCCTGGTAGCTGTCGACACGGTTGTCCGTGTCAACATCGCCCTCCTTGTTGATATCCTTCTGCCAGAACTTGCTGTAGTTCTCGATGCGCGAGCCAACGCGACCGTCTGCTTGAGCTTGAGCAGGCATTGTGAGTGTGATAGGAGCAATGGACTGACCGTCAGAAATCGGCCCACTCCGCTATTGCGTTGCAGCTACCTCGTTTGAGCGCATGTGAGGTTCATGAGACCGCTGGGTCCAGAGTATATCATTTAAGACCTGCTCTTAGCACATCGGTGGGCAGAACCTGCAGAATGAGGGGTGAGGGAAGAGGACAAGAGGAGGCAACGCTATCTGTACGCGTTACGCCCGTCGCGGCGGTCGCAGTCGCAGTCGCAGTCGCATGCCTTCTCGGGGGGTCGCGTCTGCATGACAGCTCGAGCTCCCCCACGATCGCAGGACGCACTTCCACGCCAACCCGCCATCTCGTCACCGGCGACTCGCGCCGACCTTCCGCACTCACATCACACAAGTCACGTCACATTCGCGCCTTGTCCACCTCCTTGTCGTCGTATTCACTCTACGCCTACGCCTACCGCTACCCTAGCCCCGCCCGCCTACCCCTCCCCCAAAAGACCGTTCGGCAATTCCCGAAAATCCACTTTTTTCGCCCGGCCCAGAGCTCCATCCCCCCTTTGCGCCCCAGCGCACGTCCGCGAGCGGAGCGAGCGGTTAAGCTCTGGGGTTTCGGCCATCCGAAAGGGCGGGATTGGCTCTGGTGAGTACCCCTCCCTCCCCTCCTCCTCCTCCTCCCCCTTCCTCTCCTCCTTCCCTTCCCCTTCCTTCCTCTCCCCTCCTCCCTTCTCCCGAGCCGAGGGGAGAACGGAGGCGGGGAGAGCAAGGACGGGGAACGGAAGGGGAGAGGCCCCGCGTCAGTACCCGCATTCTCACTCACCGCGCGTCCGCGATTCGCTCGGAGCTTGATGGTAGTCACCGAGTGAGTTAATGTAGATGTCCCGCGTATCGACGGAGAGGACGAATGAATTCATTTGCGCTCGCGTTCGACGTCCGAGCTGCTGCGATGGGGGGTAAGCCGGGGCCGGTGTCGACCGCGCCGTCTTCAGCTCGCGCGCTCGGCGCCACCGTGCATGTCGAGAATGCTTCCAGTCTCGTAAGCTTTCCATTTACTCGTCGCATGCTGACCGAACGCACCGCAAAGCCCGCCGCCATCCCCGCGCTCGTCCCGTCTCGCCTGTCTCGCGGTCCGCCGTCTCGCCGATCCCGTCGACGCCGCGGCCACGCTCGTCTCGTCGGTCCACGACTCGCTGGCTCTCTCGCTCGTGTGCTCATCTCGTCGGGCTTCGCTCGTGCTCCTCCTGCTAGATCGTGCTCGTACTCGTCTCGTTGGATCGGGCTCGTACTCGTCTCCCTGTATCGGGCTCGTACTCGTCTCGTTGAGCCGTGCTCGTGCTCTCGTTGGTTTTGCTCGTGCTCTCGTCGGTTTTGCTCGTGCGCTCTCGTCACTCTTGCTCGTGCTCGCCTCGGGCCTCGCTCGCAGTGTTGCTGTGCTCTCATACGCCTGGTATCGCCATCGAGCTGTCTCGTGTCGAGGGCAGCATGCTGATCCTTACGCAGGTGCGAGCGGGTGTGTTGGCGAGTCGGAGGGTGAGCCGAGGTGGATGGTGAGCTTGGGGTGGGTTGAGGAGAAAGGAGGAAGGAGGAAGGCGAGACAAAGGAGGAAGATGAGATGAAGGAGTATGGTAAGGCAAAGACGTAGCCAGCACGCTGTAGCAGAGTATTGATCGCTGATCGCCGCTGTGGCGTGCGAAGCTTGGACGCATCACCTCGTGCGTGAGCGGACTCATCAACTCGTGCGCAAGCGGCCCCATCAACCCGTGTCTCACCACCTCGTACTTGCCTGTTTGGTGAGATGTGGCAAGCAACGGAGCGCCCACGGAATTTGAGTTGAGAGGGAGCGCTCACGGAATCTGAGTCGAGACGGAGCGCTCATGGAGTCGGAGAAGGCACACAAGGAAGAGTGCTCAGGGAATGCTAGCATACGAGCAACAGACTTTCGAGCAATGCAATACTGCAGTCGAGTGATTGGATTTGGGGTTGGCAGATGAGACAGAGGCACGATGCTCAACTCAAGCGAGAATGCAAGAACTCGACACGGTGGGTTGACCGTAGAACACTCGGAGGATGGCGGAACTCGAGCAGAGCAAGACGGGTTGATTGGAAGATGGATAGAGTGTTAGAACAATGGGGCTCGGAGAATAGCATTGCAAAGTCGTGAGGTTCATGGTAAGAGAGAAAGTGATTAGCTTGGCATCATGAGCAAGGTGGAAGGCTGGAGAAGAGGGAGGCAGAACGGGGCTCGATGTACATAGTCGAGGCTATGACGGGGAAGGAATATGGTATTAAACACGAATTGACGCCAGCTTCCGATCTTGAACTCAAGGCGCGCGAGATGCAGACATGAGGATATGTGGCGTAAACTCGTATACTGCGTGCATTGGACCAGGAGGGGAATGGTTGCGCGTCGAAGAAGCCAGCCGATGTTGAAGAGTCGAGGAACGACCACCGCGGTCGACGATGACGGCGGGAAGCAAGGACCAACGTCGGACCCACAACCGCCAAAGCCGGATGCGGCAGTCGCCGAGACGCGTTCCCACCGCTTGATCAGCGCGCCCACCATCGACCGCGGCGATTATCCTCCACCCCTCCCTCGTAGTACGAGATCTACATACGAAATGGTATATTCTGCTTATCCAAGCTCATCGCGAGTGAGAAAGCCCGGGAAATCACGCAAGGCAGGGAAAGAGTGAGTTTCCCTTCGAGATCATCAGCGGCGGGGGAATCGCGCGAGGGCGTCGATTCGGTGGGGGAAGCAATGACTGACTAGTAAACCAGAAGAGGGACTCGTGCGATGCAACGACGCGCTCGAGACGACTGGCCGAAGCCAGTAAGAATAAGAACACTGCCGATATCAGGCGGCCGGGGCCCGGTACGAGACAGAGACACAAGCCTGGCCTGCCGACGGGCTCACTTGGGCTCAAAACGTTGAGAATGCGAAGGGAATAAGCATAGTGAGTACTGCATATAGTTACCGAGCACGGAAAGCCCGCGACAAGCCTTCAAATCGCTTGAGCATAGCGCGAGCATACTACTACTTTACCCGCGCCACAGGCCGCTTCGCGGTCTGCGGCTTCCGAGAAACCCGTCGACCCATCGAACGTCTAACAGAACAAGGGAAATGTTTTTCGGATACTGAAACCGCCATAGGACCTTTGGTACATCCCGAACGACGTTCCTCAGCATATCAACACCTCTCCCCCTCGATAACCAACTTCCATCGCCTCGCCGGCAACTCTAAACTCCAAGCCCTTGAAACACGGAGCTTCGGACATGGTGCGCCCGACTGAACTTTGACGCCGTCGGTGGGAGCGGGGATGCCGGCGAGGGAAGCGCGGACGCCGGCTCGCGATTTAGCTTGTTTGTGGGGAGCGGTCGTACAGCGCTGGGCAGCTGGCAGGTACAGACATCGAATGGTGAGTAGATTTAGTCAATCAGTCAGTGGTCCGCGTTGATGAGGTCGCCGGACAAAGCCTGATTTTTTGACCTTCGCCGCGCTGGCTAAAAGCCTGCTATATGCGGTAACCTGGATTTCAGCCGCCATCCTCGTTCGCCGGGAAGCCGCAGTGCGACTACAATAGGTGAGGTCATACTCAGCATAGAACTACATGCGCCTGACTATGTTCCCCTGAGTTTCCTCCTCAGATACCCTCAAACTCGCGAGCAAACCGACAAATGCGCTGTATGCGCGGTCTCCACTTCGCAGGGCCCAAGGACGCGTACAAGCGGACCCACCCGCTCTAAAACACCTTACCCTAGTCGAGGAGGGTCACCTCTACGCTTTCTCGCACTTTGGTATGTGCACAACGCCCAAGTACACAATCTGCCACCGCTGCACCCCACGCCTCGCCTCGCCTTACCACGCATCTTCCACCGCCCTGGAGCAAATTCTGAGCGGCGATCAGGTCTGATGGGATCATTTGTCATGTCCGAAACGCGGAAGATCCGGACGCGCTCTCAGGGAACTTTACAGGGAAGTTCAGAATATGCGCCGCTCTGTATTTGCGGGCGAGTTTGCGCGGCGGAGTCGGAAATCCGGGCGAGCGGTCAACGAAGGCCCTCGTCGCGTCAGTGGGGCATCAAGTGGACGTCGCTGAGGATGTCAACAAGTCCGTGCGCTGGCTGGAGGTGTATATAAGGCGAGGTGAGTAGCCGGGTTTCCTCAGTTCCCCAGCCTCCTCTCCTCCTCTCCTCCCTTCTACCTTCCCCTCCCTCTCCCTTTTTATCATCGAACGCGTACTCTACTGCTATCCCTTCCTCCCAACGTCTTTACTCTATCTCGCCCCCCCCCTCGTTTGCGCCGCATCCGAGGCTGCTTGCTAGATGGCCTCGGCGCAGCGAGTCTGCTTTTCAAGGTCTGTCCTGGCTTTCTTACGCTATTCATCGACGCCTGACTAATCCTTTACAGTTTCCGAGCATTGTGGAGCCCGCTCTCTTTGCATTCAGGCCCAGCGCGGATTTGCCCATCGGTGAGCTTGAACTTCATACTGCCTTCCGTCGTCGATATAACGCGTTCATAGGTCCTTCTGCAACTCCAATTCGTTTGCGAAGGCGCTCGTTGCGGTGCGCTCAGGCGCAGCTCGTAGCCGATGAGCTGACTTTGACCTGTATAGGGCGGCACGGCATCGATTCAAGCGAGTTGCTTTCGATGCTACGGCTCACCATCGAGCTCCCCCTCGATGACCTTCTCAACATCATCTCATTTCAAGGTACCTTCAGCTCATCGTGAATGAGATTCAGAGTGAGTCAGACCGCTCGCTTTCGTTGATTCACCAAGTCGGCTGAATTCCGACCTCCAAGTAGATGCCAGCAAGTCGACACTATCACCCACCATCGAGCTCCCCCTCGACGACCTCCTCAACATCGTCGCGGACCTCTGCGCCTTCGACCGCTTATAGTAGCCCTTCGACGTTGATGCGGCGGTGCGGCCGGATCCGATAGGTAAATCACGCCTATACTGAACCTGAGCAAATATATCTGATCCCCCCGCGTCCTCGCCCTTCAAGCGGCACAACGACTGCCTGCCCGAGGTCGCCGATGTCACGACACGCGGGACGGTGACACCCATCCCGTACGTAAGTCTATTCAGATCTGTATATTACACGTGTCGCTTACAACCTTTCCTCTTTCCACCACCATGCTCGGACGCGTCAGCGCACGAACACGACCGCCGCTGCGCCTTTCGACGACGGCTGCGGGACCGACCGTACGACGCCGTCGCCAGAGTCAACCTTGACCTGCCACGAAGACGGACGAGTCAACGAGGTGCGCGTTGGGCAATGCGTTGCCGTATTCTCGAACGCTGACGCACGACCGCAGAGCATCGACGACGCCTCCGACTGTCGCGCAGCAAGGGATTTGGCGCCGGGAAGGACAGCGCTAGCGGCAGCGTTGTCTTCGAGCTCGCTCGAGATCTCCTTGCACCGGGAATCTGCGAGCCCATGCATGGTCAGCCACGCCGTCGACGAGTTCCCGACGCCCAATCTCGCGCATGCGGCCGTGTCGCACGACCGCTATTGTGAGCTTTGCATTTTTTTTTCGCGGTGCGGCGTCATGTTGACCTTGATGCAGATATTCCCTCTCACTCGCAGAGGAGCGAGCGACCGGCCGCGCGAGTATGCAGCGGTATCGTGCCGGTGGTCGTGCGATCCGTGATTCAGACAGAATGGTAAAGGTACGTGCCGATGGTTTTCCGGTTCCTTTCAACGCTCACAGGTGCCGGCAGACTCACCTATGACGGCCGCGTGCGCTGGGACGCTGCTGTGATGCAGTACACGGCCCCACTCGATTAGTGGGCGATCCCACAAGCGCTCACCCTCAGCCTCGGGATAAGCAGCAGGTATGTAACGTCGTCTTGCTGGTACTCTCACCGCCGAGACTGACTTCCACGCCGTCACTGCAGGACACGAGAAAGCGCCGTGGGATCAAGCACAAGTCGCCAAGGGAGCGCCACGCAACAGCCTCGCCGAGGGCGGTCCGTATGCGCTGTTTGTGTGCCCAACGAATCTCACGCGACTCAGGAGCGCACTGCGGAACTCGTCGGACAGCGGCAAGGCTGCCCCCGGTCCCGTCGCACGGCACTCGAAGACCGTGGTGGACCACAGGTGCCGCGGACAGAGGAAGGGGAGATTATGTACGAACGGCGCGCGCAGCGCACTGACAGCGACTCGGTAAGCCGAAATCATGCCCCCTCGCGCGCCGGGTGCCCGGCTTGTACGAGAAGATACGCGGAGAGGGGAGACCATGGCCGATTATTGCGCCGTCGGAGGGACGGGTGACGTCCTTCTTTTTTTGGGTACAGAAGCGGACGTAGCCGCGTCGTAGCCAAGTCCTCCCCCTCCCCCTCCACCTAGAGTATATTATCCCCTCGTCGTCTCGTACTGACCTAACCCTAGAACGAGGACCTGACATCGGCACGAGCCGCGCTTGCGGTGCACGCGTCGGACAGACTTGACGGCTGGGTAGAAGGGGGCGGGGGTGCGTGCAGACACCGGGAGAAGGAGAGTTTGACGGTTAGCTATCAAGTTCAAAATGGCCGAACAGACTCACACTCAACGCAACCCATCACGAAGGTAACAAAAATACCTCCCCGTTCCTTAAAACGACCTACGAATGCCTGCGGAGGCCATAGCAAGACGCACGAGGGTGGGGGTGGGGGGTCAGGCCCTTCCCTCTCGTATTGTGAGTCTTTTTTAATCATCGATGCGCCTTCACTGACCAAAGCAACCTAGATATTTGGGGTCACATCGCCCTCACTCAGCCTCGCCTTTCGAAGAGCGGGGGAGGCGACTGAGACGGCGGCGAAGGGGAGACGGGGGGAGGGGGAGGGGGGCGAAGGCCCTCAGCTGGTAAGTCGTAAGAACCTTTCTGTACGACGAGGCTCACAACTCTATAGAATTATTCAAAAACTCGCGCCTCCCCCCTTTTACGCGCAGGTGGGGCGAGGGGGAAAAGGGGGGAGCAGTGCGAAAGGCGCGAAAGGGAGGGGGCGCGATGTCCCTGCGATACGGCAAGTACTCGCTTGATAGTGCATCGCGTCGTACTCACATTCGTGCCAGAGCCTCGACAACGGCCCCTTCCGTCCGCCGCGGGAGCCCCATTCGCGTCAGTAGACGAGCGACGGCGGGGGGAGGGCCCGTCCCTACCCTCGCATGCGCTATGAGCCCAGCGCTTTCCGGATAGACAGCAACGACGGCGACGCGATGACATCAGGGACCAAGTCTGGAGGTGGAAGGCCGAAGGGAAGGAGGGCGAGGGGGAGAGAAGGGAGGGGAAGCGAGGATGCAGAGAAGGGAGGGAGAGGGGGAGGGGTAAACTCCCTCCTTGCTCGGCGTGTGCGTGACCGAGGCGGGCAAGTACGCTCTTGCGAGGGCTACGACGGTACGTGGATTATGCACGGCGCGATCGTGAACTGACCTTTTCCACGTTTCGAGGCCTTCCCCCACCCTCTCCATTCGTAAGCGCGCGCGGGGGGCAGCGTTTTGGGAACGGCGAGCTCAGATGACCCAGTAAGTCCATCGTCTTCTTCGCGACGTGACGGAGAACTCAACGGTATTCAATTGCAGTGCGTGCGAGAAGGTGGGGGGAGGGTGGGGGCGTAGTCGAGGCCTCCGCCACCGCCCTTTTCGGTGAGTACAGCGCTTTTTCGACACCTGTAGTGCACTCATGAACGAGTAGCGACACTGCGCTCGCCCTCGCAGCTATGCGAGAAGGAGAAAAAGATGTGAAGGGGGTGGTTTGTGGCAAGGAGGGGTGGGAGGAGCGAGAGG